GATTCAGCCGCTGTTGAAACTGATCAGTTTCAGCAGCGGCTGAATCTGGACGCCAGTTCCGACTTACATACAGATTCAACTTAAGAACAAACCTACAGTCCCTATCTTGTACGTAACCCGAGGACTGTCTGTATTTGCCAGACAGAATTTATGAATTAAAAGCCTAGTCAGTTGCCAAGGACTACATTTAAATAATTATGAACCTAAGCTAGTTGCATGTACAAAATAGTCAAGTATACATACTGCTTCAGGGTCCCAATGCATTTATAATTGTTGATTATATTTATGACATTTATACATATTTTTGCGTTAGGAATTTTGTTCAAATGTGAGTACAAAGGTTATTTTAACACTCCTCCAGATCTGATAAGACTTCACTTCATATTGATGAAATAAATCTTTGTAATGAGGTTTTAAATTAAGCAATGCATTCATACAACTGATTACCCAGCAGCAAATGGTTGGAATACTAAAAAGCCATATGTAGTAGGAGCTGTATTTTTAAAAGTAGAAATCCATGAAAGAATGAGCGTATAGCATTTGAATGACTTAATTGTCTTCTTGTGATGGAGAGTTGAAAACTGCTATTAAAAAAATATAAAAAAATATAAAAAAATATTTCATGTTAAGAACATAATTTCATGATGTGGGAGAGAAAGTCAACATCGTATGTTACAAAATGCTCAGAACATGATGGTGCTGTTTTAAGATGTGTACTGTAGCTAAAACCAAATGAGGCTAACAAACTATGAAAAAGCTGCAAACTTCTGTTTAGTGCTATCGGATCTCTTAAGGTTTTTCACATCTTGTGTTTGCTTTTCACAGATCTGGACAAATCTAGGCTTTATTCCAAAGTGTACTGCGACACCGAGTCTCATTGTTTCAGTTTTTAAAAATGCCATATGTTTGTGTCAAGTACTTTCCTGTGGAACAATCTTTCTGTTACACGTTCCCCAGCAATCCTTCAGTATAGAGATGAGCTCAAGCCCCAGAGTTTTTATGCAAATCTAAAATCTGCCAAAGTTTGTGCAGCACAGAATTTTGGAGGATTTTGTGTCCGGTCATAGCTACTTTTATCACATTTTTGTCTCATTTCCCAAGAAATCTGTATTATTTACTTGTTTCTGTTTTATACATAATACCATTTTCCTTTAGCGTTCTCAATTTTTATCTTCCAAACATGCTTTGAACTAATCATTTGTAATACTATGCAATTTTCACCCAGCATTACTGGGGGTTGATCAATTAAAGCAATACCTATTTCATAACCTTATTATTGGCAAGAACACATACTTTTTTTGTATGATTAAACCGAGTTCCCCTTAAATAATTTCTTGCTTTGTCTGGCTCCAGGGCAACCCTTGAGAAAGAAGTGGACCACTTTAAAGTAGTCCCTTTTAGTTTACACTGCCAGTGCATTACATTTCTTTAAGCAATTCATGCATTATGCTTTTGCAAAAGTTTGCAGGCTTTTTTTCCTCCCTGCCTCAGCTGCCCTTTGGAATGTCTTACAATAGGTGACATTTTGCATGCTTCTGGACTGCTGCTGTTTGGGTAGACACTTATCAAATTAGCTGTTTTCTAAATGAATTTGGATTCAGAGTTTGTGATGTTTGCATGAGGATAGCAGGCTAATTTCTGGGAAATCAGTAGCTCTGAATGTCAGAGAACATTGTTCTAAATGGGATGTATAAATCTGAGCCTGTTTTCAAATACTTCCTATAACTTTGCCTTATATTTTTAAACCCTGATGTTACTTTAATCTTTTGTCTTCCTACCTTTCAGACTCCCAATTGTTCTGTAGTTTTTCCTTGTGAAGTCTCTTTTCCTGCCTTTCTTATTTTTTGTTTTTTCTTTGTTTTTATTTTGTCCTGCCCCATGATTCCTTGCTGCTGAAGAGCTGCTGTCTACTGGTGTGCAACGGTGGTCACACCTGCACACTAGCAGTCAAAGCTCCACCCACAATGACTCCCGTCCTAACTCCCCATTCCGACACCACTTCATTCCCCATGTCAAAGGTAAGGAGCCAGGCCTTTCCAGCTAGTACCCTATGGAATGGAGATTTATTAGCATTTGGACAAAGCTAATAAGGTGCATCTCCATAAGGTGGCCATTGGCTGTGTAGTTCCCAGCATGCCTCACAATGTGTCATTTCACTTACAACAGTGTTAGACTGACATAGCATCTTCTCTTTGAGGAAATATGTCATTTCTAAGGGCCCTAGTTAAAGCGCCAGAAAGTATATTGCATGTCATAAATATAAAGGAAAGCATTATCATCAAACACTTAGAAAAGAAACGGGCTGAATTTTTCTTATTTCCACATCCGCCTGTAATCCATATTGGACTGATCATGTCCAATTTAATTCTTATTAATTTTAGATCCTTAAAATATAAATATGTAAGTCAAAAATATCCCGCTAATATTGCCTGGATGAAGATCAGCCAACTAAGAATACTAAATCAAAAGCTTTTACATCATGCAAAGAGCAGTGGCAACAAGAAAACTCATCACTGTTAATTATGGAGGGCACTGTTTACTGTCTGACCAAATGTTAAAATCTTTCTTTTTAATCTGAAATTGTTCAAACTTTCTTCTATTGATTTTTTTTGAGGGGGTGGGAATTTGTCATCTTTGCTTTCCTCCCCTTTAGCGTGCTCATTTCAGATACTAACCTCTATTTCTGCTTCTTGCCGACTGTGGAAGTTGTATTTTATTTTCATTTTTACTGGAGCAGAGGCCAGCTGGAACTCTCATTTCCCCAGCATTCTGGTGAAATGGAGAGTGTCGGTTGGGTGAGAAGGTTGCAATTTACATTAGTTGTGAGAGCTCAGGAAAGAGTCAGTAGCTTGAGCTAAGGATATTTTATATTCCAGTACTAGCAACAAACGTGGACATCATTGGCGTTACCAATAAAAGAATTGCAAACAGATTGTTGCCCTGGTCTTTCAAGTAATGCTAATAGAGTTCAACCGTCTATTTCCCTCAAACACTCAGGTCACTGTTACTTGTTCTGGTCCTTGTATTTTTATAGGTATTTTTATTAGTACGCACTTCCAACCCATTCCTTCCGATTCTTTTGTCACAGGAAGATAGTTCACTTTGTACTTGAAACATGGGGACCCTTAAAAATAGATGCACTGCTCATTTCAGCATGCAGTTGATCCATAAACTTTGCAATTTCAACATTCTTTTGCTATAAATCTAAATAAATGCTCAAACTCCTCCCAGTGGCATTTATATCCCTTTTGCATTGCTGTTAAAAGAACAGCTTTTTCAACAGATAACACGGGGAAAACTCTGTTCAGATTCCTTCTCACTTATTTCAATAAGGCCGTTGGGGATTAAATCTGTGGATCACCTGTCAATCCAAATTACTAAATGGGAATTCAGGGAAAGACCATATTTTGTATAAGGTAAATTAGTAGTTTAAAAAAAAGAGAAGATTCCACCATTGTATCAAGAGATTTTGTATGAAGAATTTTGGCTTAAGTAATATTCACTGAGCTAGAGTCTGAACTGGTATAAATCAGCATCAGAGGTTCTGAGAGATTTTGCCAGGCCCCTGAGCAAGGTGAAAGGGAGGGGCTCCACACTTCCAGAAGGGGCGGGGTCTCAGGTGGAAGGGGCAGGGCTGGAGCAGCCAGCTCTCTGCACCTCTGTCCCCCTCCCCTATCCCTTCCATCTGATTCCCCGCCCCTTCCAGTGTTCAGGCATGTTGTGCATCTGGAAACAGGAACCCACTTTATTTTGGATCAGTTAGAGATAAAAAAATAAAATTAAAATTGAAACAAAGTGCCGTATCTCTGGCTGATGTAAATCAATATAACTCCAAGGCTAGGCTAGGCTATGCTAATCAGGCTTGCCATTGGGGTGGGGAGGTTCCCCCCCAGGACTGAGCCCATCCTCAGTAGTTAGAAGCATGGGAAAAAGGGTACAAATTATTTACAAAGCTCAAGGTACCACTGAATACTATAGCACAGGGCTACAGTTCTACTTCGCAGTGGGCCTCCTGTCTCACCGGTGTAAATCCACTGAAATCAATGGAATTACATTGTAAAGCCAATATAAGTGAAGGGAGGTATAATCCTGATTCACTGTGCATGATTGACTTAATACAGTCTGTGCAGGTAGGTCATTATATCTAAAGCCACCAAAGGTATAAGGCTTTACCCTTGCAAGCTGTATTCCAGTTGGTCAAGAATGTAACTGGTCATGTGAAATCTTGAATTAATGAAATCCAAGCATCAGACAAGCCAGGATTCATAACGGGGGTTAAATTAATGATGTAAATTATCCCTTTTGATCCTTAACTGATGATAAGTATAGGCTGAGGCTGTAAAAGGCTCATGATGACAGACATTTTTTTCATTAAATAGAATCCGGTGGCACATGTGTAATCTCTCTAAACCAGGGGTGGGCAATAATTTTTGCAGGAGGGCCACTCCATGAATTTTGATAAGTTATCACGGACTACATATTTCTACTATATTAATAGAGGAGGTGTGGAGTCTGGGAGGGAGTTTGGGTGCAGGTTCTGCAAACTTTTCTCTCTCAAACAGAAGTTGGTCCAAAAAAAGATATTCCCTTTCCCATCTTGTCTCTGTAACATAAGGAACCCTAAAATGATGTAACTTAGACACCGAAAAGTCAGAAGGTGTGCATTTTCTCTTCTTTCATTTCCCATTATCCGGTTACCCGTAAGGGTGATGTTTATGGGTAACCAGTTAACCGATGGCCTGGCCACGTTGGAGCAGCCTCCCACACACAACGCAGGTGGGGGCTGCTCCAGCCTGGCCTGGGCCCACTGCACTGCAGGCAGGGGGCTGCTCCAAACTTAACTGGTTAAACCTAATGTTTAACTGGTTAACGTTTTAAATGATGATTAACATCCCTAATTTCCAACTCCGTATTTGATAGCACTCCTGGCGTATGCATTATGCCAGCATAGACTCATTTAAGCCAGGTCTACATTTATAAAATGTAACTGTTAAGACTTGTGAATCTTTATAGACCTAGTCATGCCGGTAAAAGCCCTAGTGTTACACAGTTCTGGCTCACGCCGGGTCTGGGAGCTCAGACTCCCTTCTACCAGACAGGGGCTGCTGCCACTCCATGCTGCTGCCTCTGTATTGGAAGCAGCCGTGTGGAGTGACAGGCAGCCAGTCTGCATGGGAAGCTGGTTTTTAAACTGGCTTTCTTCATGGGCGAGGTCCCATGGCATGCCACACTGCTGCCTCAGATACAAAGGCAGCAACACAGTGTGGTAGGAAGCTTCTTGGGAGTGGGGTCGGCGCACACTGGCTGCTGACCCCACCCCTGGGGACTATGGAATAGTCGAGTAACCAATAAGAGTTTGTGAGGTTAAATGACTATTCAGTTAACTGATATTTAACATTCCTACTTCAAATGTGAAGCAGAGGCCAGAAATACCTACCCGTTGCTGAACGATGGCTCCCAACAGCCTGAGGAGTGCTGTAAGCTGGCGGGAGTTGTCTGGTATTGTCAGTGCCATGGTTATTCAGATCTTCAGAGACTCAAGGTATGTCTAGACTGCATCCCTCTGTCAGCAGAGGGATGCAGATTAGGCAGGTCGACATTGCAAATGAAGCAGGGATTTAAATATCCTGTGCTTAATTTGCATAAAATGGCTGCCTTTTTGCCAACTCAGCACTCTGTCTGCAAAAAGCGGCAGTCTAGAGGGGGATCTGTTGAGAAAGAAAGCCTTTTTCGACAGATCCTGTAAACGTCCTTGCAGGAGGCATAAGAGATCTGTCGAAAAAGGCTTTCTTTCTCGACAGATCCCCCTCTAGACTGCCGCTTTTTGCTGACAAAGTGCTGAGTTGTGAGTCGGCAAAAACGGTGGCCATTTTTATGCAAATTAAGCGTGGGATATTTAAATCCCCGCTTCATTTGCAATGTCGACCTGTCTAATCTGCATCCTTCTGCCAACAGATGGATGTAGTTTAGGCATACCCTCAGTTATAACTTGACAGGACCTGGCTGAGGCTGCATATTTATTACTCTGTGCTTGCTTCTGTGAACTTAGCCCTATTTCTATGGCAGACAACATAAAGATTTGGAGCTGTCTGAAGTGGGGCTTCTTTGGTGGTCAGAGGCATCCCAGAATGCACTGGGCTGTGAGCCAGGCCTGGGATTCCTGGACTGTTGGCTGCAAGCCAGCCTTGCAAGCAAAGAGAAAGTAGCATCAGTAAACAAGAGAGAAGGCAGCAGGGGGATAAGGAATCAGCGAGAGAAAGGCATATACTGATTGGCATTCAGTCAGGGTTGCCTCTGCGGCCGGGGGGAGGGAGGCGGGATGCAATGCTGGGCAGTTCAGAGTACAGCAGGGGCCAGGAACATGCATTATTATGCAGAAGTTTTTCCTGGTTCTAAATGGTGAGCAGCTTATCTCTGAAGCGTAAGATCCCTGAGTTAAAGAAGAGAATTAGCTAGTGAAAGGAAACAAAATCCCAAGGAAAAGGAGCAGGGAAAGCTGTCCGAATTCCACTTCTGACACTGCTGCACCACGATGCTTTTTATAGATTAAAACCCCTGCCGACTGTCTCCTCACCCCACCTGTTAGCATTCCCAAGGTGTTTCAAGTTTCAGTGGTGGCAGATGGAGGGTAGGTCTACACTGCAAAAAAGGTGGGTTTTAGCTCAGGTTAACTAACTTCGATTGAAAGAGTAGTGAAAATGCCTGAGTTCCAGCCCAGGCTCCCTAATGGGCTTGAATTCAAGTTACTAACCAGAGTGGAAGCTGAGTTGCCGTGTCTTCTCGCTGTTCTCCTAATCTGAGTTAGATAACCCAGGTTAAGAACAAACTTCTTTTCTTTGGCGTAGCCATTCCCTGCAGGTTCCAGTGTGTTTTGTGGCTGCTGCAGGGCTCGGGAAGTTTACAAGGTGCCCTAACACAGGCTTGTGTTTGAGGCAGGATGGGACTTGTTCCTTTGCGGACATGGAAGGAATTACATACCTCAAGCCTGCACCTCGTCTAATGCCTGCACCTCAGCCGCAGGTTATCATGGTGGATGAAGGAGCAGAGGAGCGAGTCCATTTATTTACATATATTTTCACACACGTGTGCTCTTTTTTCCTTATATTTCAAACACAGACCATAGAGACAACTCACAGGCTAGAATTCCCTTTGTGATGTCCATTCCATACGTAACTCTAGAAGTATCATGCTAAGAAACATTTGCTTTCTGGAGCAGCAGTGGCTTTCTCTAGGAGGACACTCCAGCAAGACCCCTGATATTAGTTGAGATTGAGGTGCCCTGTCCTAGAGGTTTTGAAAATGAAGCACACCGTAGATTTTTTTTTTCCAGTGGGTTTTCTCATTCCATCATAAACATCTTCCCCTTTTTAGTTAGAACTTCATGGCTGATTCCATTTATCCAGTTCAAAGAAATTCTCCTCAGCAACCAGAACTTGGTATGTTTGGAGTAAAGAGAAAAGTAATTTCTGTTGAAAGAATGACCCATCTTCTGGTCATTCCTGTTGAGATGATCTCCTGCGTGCCTGGCAAAGATGCTGGACTTCCAGATTGGGTCTCAGAGCTGACAAGCATCACTTTTCATTTCTCTTAGTCCATTGTGCTCTCATTTCACCCTTATGTTTTCCCCCTCGCTGTATGTTTTTTACTTTTTTTTTTTCTATCTTCCTTGCAGCTTCATTCTACATAGGTATGTCTTGTCTCAATCATGCGGCTATCCTCATGCATGCAGGGTGGGTGTGATGAGTATTCTTCTCAAAATCTGCATGTGTTTCTTTTACTCACTTGCTGAAATAACAAATTTTCCATTTCTCTGTCTAATGAGATGTTGAATGGTGATGGACTTAACCATGTATGACCACTGTTGAAAACAATATGTAAAATTTTGGGGCAAATGCTATGTCAGAATATGGTTTCATTTGCCCAGAAAGTCTTTTCACTCTCTATTGTATCCCATCACACATACACACACAGAGTTCAGAGCCAATATGATGTATATGCTGTACTTAAGGAGTGTTCATAAACCCTTTTTTCTTAAGAACCATCATTTTCTGAGCCTCTCAGTAGATCAAGCTATCCTTCTGTGTAACTCTTCTCAGCAATTTTCTAGGGACTGTTATAACCAGGTTCTGGAGAGTAAATGATCTGTCGTAATATAGGACGACTCCTTCTCAAATAGCAGCCACTCTGTTGTAGTAGTAGTTGAAGCTTTTAAGTAGCAGTACAAGGCACCAGTCCAGAAGAGCTGTGAAGTGTACTATTCTGTGCAGTGATGGACAGGGGTCCCATCTAGGAGAGACACAGAAGTATCATTCCTCACTAGGGACAGGTGTCACCGGGAAGTTGTTAGAGGGGAACCTCAGGGAACACAACAGAATGGAAACATCTGTGAAGCATCAAGTGCAGGAAGACATGGTTCAATCTCGGTTACCAGGTTATTGGGGCATAATAGTTTGTTTGTTATATAACTTGTTACATCACCTAGATTCCTAGATGTGGGATTATTCAGCACAGATTAGTCAATGTGGTTGTACTCAATAATTTCCAGTCAATATAAAAAGGAATATAGAAGGGCATCAGAGCAGCTAATTATTTATAGAAGCACTAACACATTCACATTCTTGCAAAGCCAGCCTCAGCCTTACCCCAAACATGGCAGTCAATGATCTTCTGACTCTTCCAGACACAGAGACGAGACATGTGAACTAGTTAGTGGCCTAAGGACAGGGTTGGTAGCGGGGATCAGAACACGCAACCCTGGTTCAAATAGTAGTTTCCAATGGCATCAGCTTTGCCATCTGTAAAAATTGTGGTGAAGGTCTCAAAGTCAGCCATGTTGTCCCCAGCAGCATTCAGCCAGTAAAATGACAGCAAGATGGGAATTGTAAGTTTTACTCACAAAGCCCATTGTTTTGAACTCATTTCTCTGTTTGCTGCAAGGGATCGCTTCTGATTACCCTTTCTAATGAAATGCTTTTCATGCTAAATGTATGACTACTTACAACCAGTGGGATCAGGAAGACACAATGATGTGTTTGTACACAAGTTTAAAATGTCAAATTACAGGTTGAACCTCTCTAATCCAGCACCTTCTGGTCCGGCAACATCCGTGGTCTGGCGTGATTTTAGTTAGCTGGAAGTCCACTTATCATGGGTGTGGCCAATTTTGCTGCAGTCCAATTAAGTTGTTTACAGCCACCAGTCCTGGCTCTGTGTTCTGTGCTGTTAGTTAGCTCAGATTTACCCCTAAATGTCTTCTAAGAGCCCGTTAATCAGGGGAAGTGCTGGTAATGCTGCTAGACGATATTGACCTACCACAGTCCGGCAAATTCTCTGGCTCAACACTGGTCAGATCCTGAGGGTGCTGGACTAGAAAGGTTCAACCTGTAGCTGTATGTTGAGATTTACAGTGGAGGTGGGGTGGGGGTCTTACTAAAAAGTGGCTTATGTTGTTCTAATAGAAACTAGTTTCTCTTAGCAGTTAGCATAACCAAAATGGTATATTCCCTGGAGTGTGACTTCAAAACACAATATTACATCATTGAATTGCCACACACAGATAACCACGTCATTTTAATTAATGGTACATTGTGCTACTCCTGGCTTGATACATTGTTTTCAAAATTAGCCGTTGGCTGACCCGGAGTCAGCAACATTGTACTAGAAGGCTACGTCTAGATTGGATCCTTTTTTCGGAAAAGGGATGCAAATTAGACGTATCGCAATTGCTAACGAAGCGGGGATTTAAATCTCCCCCTGCTTCATTAGCATAAAAATGGCTGCCGCTTTTTTCAGCACGGAGCTTTGCCGGAAAAAAGCACCAGTCTAGACGTGGATCTTTCGGAGAATGAAGTCTTTTCTGAAAGATCCCTTAGGCGGAAAAAAGCGCCAGTCTACACGCTTATTTTAAGAGGGATAAGGGATCTTTCGGAAAAGGCTTTATTTTCCAAAAGATCCGCGTCTAGACTGGTGCTTTTTTCCGGCAAAGCTCCGTGCTGAAAAAAGCGGCAGCCATTTTTATGCTAATGAAGTGGGGGAGATTTAAATCCCCGCTTCATTAGCAATTGTGATACGTCTAATTTGCATCCCTTTTCCGAAAAAGGGATGCAATCTAGACATAGCCGAATAGAAGAAACCATAGCACATGGCACATCTGATGGAACAGCACATTTGGGGACTGTGATAGGACCAAGCAATCAGTGGTGCAAATACCTGTTTGCACATGTATTTGAATGGACAGATTTAATGCATGTAAATCATGCCCAAACACAGTGTTTGTGTGTCAATTCCATCGTGTGCATAGACAAGTCATAAGGGTGCAAGTGACTTCCTTCAGCGCCTTAGAAAATTTGGCATTTACATGTATGCTTCACTCAGGGTAGCATGTGCAGTGCATTGCCTTGCCATTTTACTTCGTTTTCAGTTAACTGGCCACCCTGTTAGTGTTTAAAAAAACGGAAACAAAAATACTTTTATAAATTCAGTAATCAGATAAAATATAGAAAACGTGCCTCGCCAAGAGCTCTAGGTTCCGGTTGGAGTTCACAAGAAAGCCTGACTAGAAAATGTGTCCTCCTTGGAGAAGAGCAGTTCTATTCACTGTCACATTTTAAAGCCCATTTTTCCTTTTCTCTTACTCCCTTTTTACGGTGTCACTTAGCTCTGGCTGGCACTGGTGTCTTTCTACACATTTAAAAAAATACAGTGGGGCTTGATTCTCCTTTGGCGTCACGACCTTTGTATACAGTGAGTGCACCTCTCCTCCTCTTCAAACAGGTGTAAATGATGGCAGAAGGTGCAAGAACATGGAGAATCAGGGCCATCGCGTCCTTAGTTTTGGTTAGTGTCCGTGAACTCAGGTGGATGAAACCTTGCTCTCCAGTCTTGATGTCTGGAGTGGGAGGATAAGCACTCCAATGATCCTTCTGCATCATTTCAGCAACCTTCAGTGCACCTGGGTTACTATGGTGGATCTTCTGGGAGGGGAAAGAACAGAATAGTCATATAATGAAGACTCAAGTTGAAGAATTTCAGTTCCTGCATGGCTAAGCAAATAGATTTGTGGGGAATGATGCTCTTAGATGGCTTAGGTGATCTAACAGCTCTTTTCCTTCTGTAAAGTCTGTGGTCCTTTGATTTAGGGGATTGTATTCCAGCTGCCAACATCTGCTTCTACATGCTTGGAAACACATTTCTTTTTGGGTTTACATATCAACTATGATACCACATGCCTGTAACTAATAACCAAAGCCGTCAACCTTGGTACTGAACCATTGCCAAATAACCTTCCCTTCCTCTCTCCCATCCTGCCCTTCTCAGCTCCAGGCTGCCAACACACAGTTCCTGCGTGCATGCTGTCAGCATGAATGTGAGCTGCTTAAAACTCCACTCCAGTCTGAATGTGAATCTCTGTCTCTGAAGGAATATTGAAAAGCAAAGTCATCCAATGCTAGTCAAGTCTGTTGGATATTGTTTGTTTTTATTTTTGCTTTAAACCTCTCTTCCTCCCTGGAGTTTTGAGTTAACTGTCTTTTGGTTGGGTTTTTATTATGCTTGCTTCTTTTTCGCTCTCCCTTCTCTCATTTTGTTTTCTCCATTCTTCTCATTGGAGGCAATGAGCCGTCCAGCGGCCGGAACTCCCCTGTCCCTTATCGGCCAGACAGTCGCCCTCTAACTCCAACTTACGTTCAGGCCCCTAAACATTTCCATGTTCCAGGTAGGAGCTGGCACTCTGTGTCTTGGTGTCCTGTCACAGTGTAGAATGTAGCCTTTGTCACCTCTGTCTTGTCTCCATTATTTCATGCTGTTTTATTTGGTATGTGCACATAGTGCTTTGACTCATAGGGACCTGCTCCTGAACTTGCTGAGCTGTGTCTCTTGTGTTTAGCAAATGTGGAGGAAGGGATTGTGTCTTTATTTTGCCCTGTCAGTCATGGGTTTCAGCATTAGAATGGGTTGTGGCTCAGCATTAGTTAACAGAACTCGGGGAAGTGAGAGAAGGCTCAGGCACTGAATGTCAGCTCGCTCTCTGAGACGTGGTTGGAAGAATTACTCCTGCCTTACAGTAGTAGTGTATGAGAGAGGGAAATAGGGCCTGGAGCACTGATGATGCTCTCCAGCAAGAGCAGTTAAATGTGACAAAGACAACTCCTGACTTGTTTTGCTCTTGAGCAAGACCAATCAAAGTGAGGATTTTTCGTAACTAACTTCACTTCCCATACAAGGATACGTAAAGTCACCATGTCCTATTTACAAGGGACAGATTGTTTTAAGTCAAATTTACAACTTTTCTACTGTGAAAAACTTTCCAGTTCCTGCATTTAGGTGGAATGAGGAAATGTCCAGTGTAGGCAGGAGGGAATCTATTACATGACTTAAATATCCTCACAGTATTTATAGTTATTTGCTATTCAAGTTGAGACCGTGGTCTACTAGCAGGAACAAAAAAAAGCCACTGTGTCTTTGTGTTCTGAATTTGCCTAGTTTAATCAGTGATAAGAGGGCATTGTCAGGCAGGCTTTACCTTAATTTTCATAGAATTCTAAGGTTAATTTCCTTGATACTAAAGGTAAAGTTGTCTCTCTTAGCTCATTGGACCTATGATGTGCATTGTATACTTCTCAACATTTTCTGTGACAATTGTGCTAGTGTAACCAAAATATATTATTATACAAGAGTGAATGGTTATTTTGCAATACGGATTTTCAGTCCCTAATAGCACTCATTATGCATAATGGGATTCTGATACTTGGTTTTGCAATATAGCATAATTTTGGATCAACTTACCTGTTGCTTTTGTGAAGAACATGTAAGGTTTTGTTTTGTTTTTTAGAATGAAACTTTGCCTGTTTCTAAATGAGCAGCATCTATTTAAAAAGATTCCCAGTTCTTGTAGAGGATGCCATAGAAATACATGTAAGGGTTCTAGGAGTTGCAGTTAAAATCTAATGTATAAAGATAATGTGCTGTACAATATTTGTTGCATAGAAATAATTATCAGAAAACATTGTGGTTTGGTTTAGCACAACACTAGTTAACATTGCATGCAGCGTCTGTCTGGCCCAGTTCAGTGTAATAGTTGGCTGTGTTCGTCAAACTGGCAGATCAGAATGCATGGTCAGTGGGTTTTAATGGGAATTGTAGGTTCACTACATTGCTTTACCCGCGGTCCAACTCATCAGTTGGAAGGGAAATTAAGCTGCTATTGCTGAAGCACAATTTTCCAGACAGTCGTCATTTGGGGTTGCTGTCCCCAAATTGTTTGCATATTCACAGTCAAAATATCTCCTTTGTTTGCATTTCCTCTATAACCTTTATGCTATTAATAAACTTCTAAGTATTTAAAATGAATGGCTCGTGTCTTAGATGCATCAACATGTTGCAAAATAAATGCCAAAGGATTTCATACCACATGTCCGTGACTTTTCACCTGTTCTAGTATTTCCTCAAGTAATCCAGCTCTATGTAGTGTTACAGTTAGCTTTCTGGCTTCTTCTTGTGCTAAGTCCTTGGGTTAGTGTGTCTGTTGGTTTGGTGTTGGGTTTTTTCTTTTTAATTTGTAGCTGAAGTCTTCCCCATGTTCACTCATTTCTGCTTTTTAATTCCACAGATCAAGGCATCAACATTTACAGGAAACCACCCATCTATAAACAACATGGTAAAAACCCTCTTTCGTCTCTGTATTTTCTAAGTAGGAGATTCCACTTAGTTAAATATGTATACAACATAGCAGAAAACATTCAGTGTTTCATGTACACAGTGCAAATTGGAACTATTAGTTTAAAAATAACTTCTATTGGGCTGATTGCCAAGTGGACACAATGAGTGGAATTTTGGCCCCAGTGCTGTTGATTTACATGGAACTAGGATTTCATCTTGTGTCTTTAATGTGATTTAGATTCCGTACCTAGCCCTCTTGGTTTTGAGTTTATTTTTCCTGAGTACAGGAATTCATCATGGTAAGACTGTTTTTTTTAAATAGGAGGGTCTCATCATATGTCTTATTAACCTTTGTTTCAGGCAAATAAAGTACAGATTGAACCTCTCTACTCTGGCACACTCTGGTCAACCATCATCCATGGCCTGGCATGATTTTAGTTAGCTGGGTGTCCACTTATCATGAGTGTGGCCAAATTTCCCATGGTTCCATAAAGTTTGTTTATAGACTCCAGTCCTGGTTCTCAGTGTTCTGTGCTGTTGTTTAGCTCCGATTTACCCCGAAATGTCTTCTAAGAGCTCCGTAAGCGGTGGAAGTGATGGTAATGCTGCTGGCCAGTATTGACCTCATGTGATTCAGCAAATTCTCTGGTTTAGCCTGGGTCATGTCCTGAGAGTGCCGGACTAGAGAGGTTCAACCTGTACAACTCTGTGCTTCTGCCATAAAGATGGAGATATTTATTTGCTGACCAGTATTCCAAATGCAAATTTGCTTAAAGTGCTAAGAACAAGTAGAGTTGTTGAAGGTCTTGTGTGCAGTGTATCGCTGGGGAGGTTGATTTGACTGTCAAAGCCAGTGGAGGAGCTTGGATAGCAAAGTCTATTTGTTTTTCCAATATTTAGTTTCATTCCTACTCTAAACCTCTTTCCAAGCTGTGTATAGTTTAAACATTTTCCCATAATAATAATAATGGGAGCTGTCAACTGATTTGCTACTGCCTGATGCTATGGAACATGGTCTCTGTTATTGCTGAATTCATTCACTGTTGCCTTTTGCTAGGAGTATTGAGTGTTTAATAGGAAAAGGCTATATTTATATTGGTGGGAGAACATGTGACTGTACTTCCTGAGGGAATTGCATTTGCCTTTACAGACTCTACGCCAACCATTATAGTTTCTTTGTAGGATTAGGTAACAGATGGACAGAAGTTTTAGATGAGCAGATAATAGAGAGCAGCTGATCTTACAAGAGAGAAAAAATTTGGAGATCTAGATTAGAAACCAGAGCCCCAGAAAAAGACATCAGTTTTAGACTTCAGTTTTAGAGTTTCTTCTTTTAAAAAATTTTTTAAACCATATTCTCATTTACATTTTTTAATATTCTTTTTGTTTTTTTATGGTTTTAATGTCTTCTCACCCTCCCATTAACATGTGAATGTTTAACCACTGACCTCACCAATTCTAATACGTAAGTACTGTTTGAAGTCATGCTTTTATTATCCCCTAACCAGCTTCCCCAGATTTCTGCATGTTTATGCAGAAATGCCTTCCCATGTTAAAATTGCTTCTATTCCCAATACACATTAAGACAGATATTTTCAAAGGGTACGTCTACACAGTAGCATATACTTTATTTTGAAATAGCTTATTTGGAAGTTCGGTGCTGTCTACACAGCACTTATTTCAAAATAAATTACTATTCCACTGACTTCCTTAATCCTCATACAATGAGGTTTACAGAAAATTGGAGTAAAAAGCCTGTTGTTCTGAATGTATTTAAAAATAACAGGCTTCTTGTGTAGACCGTGCATAAGGTTATTCCGGAATTACAAACGTTATTGAAAAATAACTGTGCAGTACCCATAGTGGCCTAAAGGATTTGGATGTGCATTTCCCATTAATTTTAATGGGAATAAGGGCATCCCAGTTTCTTATGTTGCTTTGACAATCTCAAATTAAATCCATAAACGTTAAAATGTAATGAATTTGTTGTTTTAAAAAACATCTGCTTCAGCCTCCTAGTTGCTTGTTTTAGAAGATGTCTTTCAATAAAAATAATTCTAGGAATTCATCTCTAGTTTGATGGTCAAAAATAAAACAACTTGACTGAGGCTGATATTTTGTATTTTAAGTAACAAGGGTGTTTTTAATGCAAAGTAAAACATTAGTTTTTTTTCATTTGTCAACGAACAAAAACCACATTGAACATTCCTGCATTATATGAGCATTTGGTCCAGATTTGAATTTTAGATTTCTGCCACACTATTGAGATAATACTCTGGAATTCCTGACAAGTATTTTTAAATATAGCACAATGGTGCATTTTATGTCTGATAACTGTATCTCTCCTGCACAATTGATCTAAACAGAATTTAACATTTATTACTAAACTCAAGCTTGCTTTTGTTACTGAACATGAATGATTTATTAGAGACAGAGCTGTTCAAAGGACTAACACCTTTCTCTGCTTGCTGCAGACCCTTTTGCTGCTGCAGTTTTTCCCCAAAGACATAGGAAATGTTTTTAAATGTGGTGGAATTAAACTTAGTGCAACTCCACTGAACTATTTTTGCTTTCTTACCCTAAAGGGAAGACAAGCCAGCACACTGAAGTCTTCATTAATGATCAGCAAACATCAGGAGATTAAGCAAAACACTGCGTGGTGTATTTGCCTGAGTTCTATCTGTCTGATCATTTTAACAGTGTGCTACTCCAGTGAAATACTGTATTTTGTACTGTAGGGAGAGCATAGATTTGAGTCAAAGACATGGATGAAGGAAAGAATTTAACTTACTGCAAGCAGGAAGTAGGCAGCCAAAGGATCACTGCATACACTTTTAATAATTGAACTGCTGTAGAGTATAAAATATTAACAAAATAAGGAAAACCATGACACTGATGTAGGCTATAACATAGCTAAGTTCCCCTGATTGCCATCTAGATGCAGCTGCTTTGGCAGCACAGAGCAAGTCCTCCGAGGATATCATCAAGTCCTCCAAGTTCCCAGCAGCCCATGCTCCAGCACCCAACGAGATACCAAAGATTGAGACGGACCACTGGCCAGGTCCTCCCTCACTTGCGGCTGTAGGTATGCAAAAACAATGAACTAAGTGACGTGGATTACAAGGTACATATAAATACATTAAACTAATAGTGAAACTGTAAGCTCTCAGGGGCAGGAACTGTGTCTGCTGCTGTTTACTCACCACATCACATAGTGAGGCCTTGACTCTGATGAGGGCCTCTGAGCAGTCATGTGCTAGGAATAATAATAGCAAAGAAAACAGGTCTCGTAAAAGAACTTTGGGATTGTTAATGTGGATGTTAACTCATAGAGGAGATAAGTTCTGTGCAATTGATTATGGATGGTGCAATGTCTTGACTGCATCATAGAAGCCTGACTTCTTTCAGTTATCGTTCATTTCGTCTGCTAGGCCTATGTTAAAAGTAAATATATTGTGAAAAATGACATTTCTCTGGCCACGTAGCTTTTTCTGTGACAATGCTGAAAGCAATGTGACCGAACAGTCATTGCATAGATACCTTCCGAATGAGACCATGCTAAAAGTTGTGTTTCTCATCTACACCATTTCCACAGAAAGTATACCTTTCTCTTCCATGTTGTTGCATTGGAGATGTCTCATTCATTATGTTTTCTTTAAACCTCATACACAATCATTTTTTTTCGTTTGCACTTGTGACCAGGAGGGACACTAGACAGCTAACTTATGTGTTACTTCTTCAGAGCTGCACAAAGCAGACTCTTTAGGTTGGTTATTTCAGAATTGGGTGACGAATTTGACACTTAACAGCACATTCTGTGTAACTCTTCATAAAACTGTAACGAGTTAGGAATTTAGTGAGATGAGGCAAATAATATAAATGACTTTTTAAAAGGAATCCGTTCACTTAAATATCTTATACACGCCAACTGAAACTTCACAACCTGTAACATCAGATAGATAACTCATAATTAAAAACACCAATGACAACTACAAGACTATGCATTGTCTGTCTGTCTGGTGGGTTCCTTGCTGGCTATTTGGCCATCATCTCCTCTTAGTCGTTACCCATCTGCTAATGGACTGCATTTTGAGTGTTTTTAATCATGCCAATTATGTAAAATGCTCCACTTAACGGCTGAACACAGAACATCCCTAAGTACATTCGGGCCAGTATAGTTTCTGCACAGTCATGTTTAGTTTCTCAGGGGGGAAAAAAGCAATCTGAGAGCTAAAGTATGAAGTAATTGTATTTACAACCGAAACAAAGTCTTGAGTCTGTGTTTAGTTTCGTTGCCTGATTTGCTTGAATGGAGAGGGGTAACGAATGGTGTTCTCCAGGTATCCATTCTAGGATCAACCCTATTCAACATATTCATAAGTGCTCTGGAGAAAGGGGTAAATAGTGAGGTGGCAAAATTTGCAGATGATACAAAACTGCTCAAGATAGTTAAGTCCAAAGTAAACTGGGAAGCGCTTCAAAGGGATCTCTCAAAACTAGGTGGCTGGACAACAAAATGGCAGATGAATTTCAATGTTGATAAATGCAGGCAGGAACAGTGGCCCATGCCTCTGTTTGTCAAAAGGTGGGAATGGATGACAGGGGAGGGATCATTTGATGATTCCCTGTTCTGTTCATTCCCTTGGGGGCACCTGGCATTGTCCACTGTTGGCAGACAGGACACTGGGCTAGATGGACTTTTGGTCTGACCCAGGTTGGTTGTTCTTACGTACTGAGTCCGATGTCATCCACACAGAGCTAAACTGGACCCCACCAATTAAGAAATAAAAACGAGCATTTCTACCATTCTGCAGAGAGCGTTACAGACAGACTGAGCAAAATGGCATGTCTGGCAAACATATCTTAACCTGTGTCACCTTTTAACTTCCTCCACGCTATACCATTTTGCCATTCCCTGGATAGTATTGTGTTGAATTTACACAGCCTAATGGTTCAACTGCAAGGTTTGGCTTTTACTCAAAAACTCCCATTTGGTTATAAGAGCTTGGACTGATTGTAAAATGAGTCAGGAATTCAGGATATGTCCCACAGGGAGAATACTGCTGTTAGCAAAACTGCCTGTAGCCATGTTATCAAGCCTGTTCATTACTATGCTTTAAAGATCATTAAACCTGCTTCTTATGTACGGTACAGCTGCTTTACTTTGACAGTCTGAATCGGCCACAAAGTGGGTTTAATATAGTTTCTATCCACTTTCAGATACCTCCATTCTGTCAAAGTGGTGTAAAGTGGTTTAGTGCAAATGAGAATCAGGCCATTTTTCTTAGCTATTGGTGCATGAGAGAGAACTTCTAATGCCAACTCTCTGTTGACAGGTGATTTAGGCTCCCCCTCTCTGTTAAATTGATAGCAAACCTCTATGTTAAGTCCAGCTTCACTACTGCTGCTCCCCTTCAATTCACTTGTGCGTGTTCTAACCACATGTGAAACTTTGGCTAGTCCAAACCCCAGTCTTGCAGTGATGAAACTGGGACATCAAAACAGCTCCAGTCTCATTGCTATGTAAGTGGAGTGGGTTTTGGAATAGCCCAACTCCACTTTCAGTTGGAGCAAATGCATATCTCCACTGCCTAGTGCAACCAAAGGGTGTGACGTCCAGATTGATAAGGAAGTCTAAACGCTTTGGGAACCAGTGTTCAGCTCAGTGTCATTCCTCGCTGCAGATAAGTGAGAGACCAGAAGGGTATTGGCAGTGGGTTGTCTGGCTCAGTGTTTTGCTTCAGCAAATCAGGTTAGGTCATGCTGTGTAGTAGTCCTTGTAATGATGGGACTGGTATGAGAAAGTTCTCTTTATACCATGGTTTTATGGAAGCAGGAGCTGACATGAGACGCAGATCAAGCGGCAGAGAGGAAGAAGATGAAGAGCTCCAGAGACGTCGGCAGCTACAGGAGGAGCAGCTCATGAAGGTTGTTATAGCCTTATCTTAATGCTGTTTCTGAATAGTCACAATTGGGGGTCTCAAACTCCTGGCCCATGGGCACAATCTGGCCCAGGAGTGCCAGCAGGGGGCTCTCTGTTACCGTTCTCCAAGTCCCGCCCCCTTCCTGCCACCACTCTGCCCTCTCCCCCCATCGTACCTGGTACCCCCCAAGGACGTGGCCTTGGGGATTACCAGAGGGGGCCTGGCACTGTGCAGCAGCAGCACTTGGGCCCCCCAGTGCTCCCCAAAGCATCAGAAACTGCAGGAAAGTGGAGCAGAATGAGTGTACTCGCTGACTGTGCCCCACAGTTTCCGCCACCGTGCGGGATACAGGGGATCTGACTGTTGCTACTGTCCCATGCCAGGCCCCCAGTAATGCCTGAGCCGCTCTCTCAGGGGATAGGGTGCCATGGGTTGGAGAGGCCAGGGCAATAGCAGGAAAAGGCAGATTTGGGCAATGGTAACAGACAGTCCCCTCCACCCCCCAGCCCACCAGAACTTCCATGCCAGCTTGCACAATGGCTACAGACAGTTTGAGACCCCTGTTCAAAATCCTCCACTATGCACCATGGATGGACTTTTCATGAGCAATTTTGACTGTTTTAATAAACGGATCCACCAGTGTGCTTTGCCTACACAGGTTGAACCTCCCAAATCCGGAACGCTCTGGTCCGGCAACATCTGTGGTCCAGCAGGGCCTGGGATGTTGCTGGACTAAAGAACCCCAGAGCTGGGCCAGATGGCATCTGGGAATCCCCCACCCTGGCCTAGAGCCCCCAGCATCAATGGGGTTGGGTGGCAGCCAGAGCCCGAGCCCCAGCCAAGGAATCCCCCAGTGTCAGTGGGGCGGCCTGGGATCTCCCACCCGGGCCAGGAATCTCCTGCTCTTAGCAGGGCCACGTTGCTGAGGAGTCCCATCCCCAGCTGGGCTGCCTGCAGTCGGGTGGCCCCAGCCAGGAACCCCAAGAAACTGCCAGTGGCATTGGGGCTGGGATGACCGAGGAGCTTGCAGCGGAGAACTCCCAACTGAGTGGGGCAGGCGGTTGGAATGCCCAGCGGCGGTAGGACAGCCCCAGCAGCAGGGCAGGGTGGCTAGACAGCCTCAGCTGGGGAACCCCCGGCAGCAGCATGGCCAGTGTCCATGTGGCCCCAGCCGGGAACACTCTGTAGCAGCGGGACCAGCAGCAGCCAAGTGGTCCCCACTGGGGACCTTGATAGTGGTGGGAAACAAGGTAGGGAGCTGTGGTGGACCAGCTTAATGGGACAAGCAGCAGGGCACGGATGCCCCGGGAGAGGAGCCCAGGAGCGGGGCAGCTAGCAGCTGACCTCCCCTGTTCTGGCAAACTCCCTGGTCTGGGACAGCTCAGGTCCCAAGGGTGCTGGACCAGGGAGGTTCAACCTGTATATACATGTACAGTAGACTTCTGATAATCCGGCACCTTTGGGACCCGTGGGTGTTGGATTATCGGCTATGCCGGAGTATCAGGAGGTACTCTGGCAGGAGGGCTGTGACGGGTCAGCAGGGAACGGCACGGCATGGGGTGAACCCTCCGCTCTTTTGCAGGGAGGCAGGGGAAGCCCTGCACAGCCGCCAGCAGCAGGCCAGCTGGGGCTGCAAGCGGCAGTGGTGACTTGGGGAAGCAGCGGGTCAGTTTCAGCAGCGGCAGCAACGGACTTGGCAAAGCAGCACTGAGCAGCTCCAATTGTCCGGCTGGCCGGAGCACTTCCGGGTTCCAGTTGGTGCCGGACTATCGGGAGTGCCGGACCACTGGATGCCGGACAATTGGAATTTTACTGTATATTTTCTCTTCCCTTTTATAGCTTAACTCAGGTCTGGGGCAATTGATATTAAAAGAAGAAATGGAAAAGGAGACTCGCGATAGGCCACCTCTTCCAGCCAGCCGTTACGATTCTCCAGGTAATTCATGGAAGCAAAAGAGGTGAAAACTGTCTCCTAAGTGGTCCATGGAAGCCCACGTGGAGTGTGTGCTTGGACACTGGGCGTTCACTCCTGAATGTCTTGGTCTACACTTGTTTAATCTAGAAATAATACCGTATTGCGGATTTTAGAAGGAACTTCTTGGAGGGATAACGCCTTCTCGACAGAATGTGTGATGTAAAGTTTGGTCCTGGTAACGGGGCCCAGTGGACACTTAGCACAAACTAGTTGGCTAGCTAATTAAATTACAACAAACTAAACACACCTTGCCTGCCCTTGAGCTTCACATAGCCTCTTAACCTTTCCCACAGGGGAAGAGGAAATCAGCAATGCCGTAGAGAGCAGGGCAACACATTCCAAAGCACTGGATCTTAGTGAGTCACTGTCTGCCTGTGGAAGCTCGCATTTCAGTCGGATGCGTTGCATTCCAGAGAAACGGCAAACGTTTCAGCTGTGCTCAACTCTTTGCTTGTAGGAGGGCCAGCGATGCCGCCAAGAGTTTGGCCTTTTGTATATATATTTTTAACCTTTTTTTTTTTTCCCCCGGTGCACCTTTATGCCCTTCCAGAGTGCCAAGGATTATCTCTCACGTGTTTTACTTCATTTTCCTTGCCCTTGAGGCCCTGCATCGTAAGTCTGCTCCAAGCCAACAAAGGTCAAGAGCAGCTCCCTGAGGAACCAGCTATTGCCATTACTCCAGCATCCTAGGCAATGGCTGCACAGCAAAACAACAGTCTTCATTCTTCCCTGTTATATTAATAGGCGGTGTCTACAGCAATGCCAGCCGCCTTGGCCAGGAAGAGAAGGAGCAGGCTAAGGCTTACATCTCTCTTGACACCTTTCATGGCCACAGGGCTTGGGGGCTTTCCAATGCCATCAGAACTCACAAAATAAGTAAATGCATTGGCTAGAGAGTCACCTTCAGTGGAAGTTTTTCCATGCCCTTTTGCACTGTTACATGATCATTGCTAATTGGCAGCGCCTCTGCCGTTTGTCAGATCTGTGGACTGCTGGTCAGACAAACTGGTGCCTTTATCAATATCTCTCATCTCCAGAACACCGGGTCCTTTGCACCTACCATTTTTTAATGTCTCCTTGAACCAGAGACCACAGGGCTTACTTACATTTTTGACTGAAGCAGCTTGTCTGAGGAGGGGGAGGGATGCTAATTGCAGAGCAGAAGGAAGAAAGTCCCTGTAATGGAAAATGAATTACATGTTTTAACTCCGGAGATGCTACTGTAGGACCACACATTTGATCACGTGCTTAACATTGAAAGCCAAAGAAATGCCAAAATGTTGCTGTGCTTTCTGGCATCCGCTGAGACATTAAGCAGAAGCATTGTGATACCACAGGAGGGCCTGTTTCCTTGCTATTTTAGATGAAACCAGAAGGGCTGGAGCCTGTATCCTGGTCAGGCAAGTTTCCTTAATGCAGCTGGGATAAGCTTTGGAAGCTAGATGCTTAATCAAGCCAAAGCCCCAGAATGGTTGTGGTTCAACCGCTACTACTGTCCCTAACCTTGCTCCCAGTGAAGTCATGGTGTTGTGTACGTATTTGGCTCTCTTAGCCAGGTTTTTAATATTTGTTAGTCCTGTTTCTCACGCTTCATTGCACTATGCCCTTTTTTGACAACCCAAATTACCACACAGCCCCTGGAAGGGGGACTGAAGACTGACTGAGTGGGCCAAAGCCGGAGCACTGCCACCCTGGGAGCAGGGCCTGCTCTGGAGCCTTAGTCCACAATTTGAGATCTGCTTCCCCAAATGGTCTGACTAGGACTTTCCAGTGGATTTTTGGTGTTTTATTAAAAAAAAAAACCTTTTCTCTCCTCCCCATTTAGCCTCAGCCTCCAAAACCTCCTCCCTCCCTGGCTACGGAAGAAATGGACTGCATAGGGTAAGATGGCAGCAGTGTGGAGAAGCAAAAGGTGGAGTTAAGGCAGAGTCTGTGGTATTGATTTCCCTGGCGATCCCATCAGGCTTCTGAATTGGATGGATCTTGCTTTAAAAATTAAGATCCATAAAACAAAATTCACCTGCTACAGGGAGCTTTGCCCCCACCCCATTGACTAGATTTTACTAGAAATGTGTACCATGTGGCAAGTCCTGAAGCCCTTCCTGTGAGCAATACCTGCACTTTCATGCAGATGTGAACTGTGTCTTTATGTGTCTTGTCTTTTCCTTCCTGTTACAGCCTGTGTCTACAGACTTTGGTCAGTACAATAGTTATGGGGATGTGAGCAGTGGTGTTCGAGGTAAGGTTGAGTTGGGCTTTTTTTTTTCTTGTTTTGCTTTGATCTCAGGGTGAACTGTGACTCTCGCTTTGGTTTCTGCAGTTCCTTTTTAAGGCAGTAAATGTGGTTGGGTTCCTGTCTGTGTTTCCATTTTTATCCCCGTCCGGTAAACTCCATAGTTAATTTAAAATATGTACAGAGAGGTGGTTGTATTAGTCTGATCTTGGTAAAACAAAACAGCTGTCATGTAGCAGACATTTGTCAGCTTTATTTTTCCAAACTCTTTGAGTTAGATTCTCATTTATAGAAGGGCTTTGCTCTGACATTGCAAAGGGGTTTTAGTGTAAATGAGAATCAAACCTTATGTATTAATTCAGGCATACACACTGAGTTCTGCTTCGCTGTATTAGAGACCTGCAAACTTTAAACCGTGGGCAGTAAAGTCTGGAACCATGAGCCTCCAGGTTAGGAGATGGGGAGTGCTAAATTCTAATCCCAGCTCTTGTCATTGCCTTGGACTTTTAGGCCAAACATGTTGTTTCTGTTGTGAGAAATGCACCAGATAAAAATGGCAAGGTGCTGTTACAGAGCACTTGGAGGCTGCTCAGAGGTGTAGATTCTGTTTCCTAATTTAGAAATGAGTCTGGGACCACAGTGGTCAACATGTCCATGTCTAACGTTCATTCTGAAAGCTCAGGCACATCAGGTTCTAGTTCCCATATCTGCTCTGCTGGTGCAAATCAGAAGTCACTCCCTGCACAACCCCACTGGCTTACGTTGTGTACAAATGCTGAGAGTGAAACTGGAATTGGACCCTTTGCCTATATCACTTGTTACTGCTGCAGTGTGCCGCAAGTTGTACTGATTATGGCACATAGGTGCCAAAGTATGAAGTGACACAAGACATCATAAGGGACTCAATCATCTCCAAAGCAGGAGAAATGCTTTGTCCTTTTAAAACTTTCTTTAGCTTCACCTTTTGAGGGCCAGCCTAGTTGCTTTGGAACTAGTGCTGCCAGTGAGAGTCCATTGCTCTGCAAACTGACCGCCTCCAGGAGAACCACAATGGCAGTGGCACCATGACATGCCTCTTGTTGGAGTAGTCTTGTGGGTCCATGAAGAGAGTCTCATGTAGGCCTTCCCAGCCAGGGAAAGTCGCTATCGTATGGAGAAGGGAAGGTGCCCTTCGTTCAGATTTTCGCCTAGGAATCAGGCCCTGTTTGCACGATTATTTGTAAATGAGCAGGTAAAAAAAAAAAGTTCATTTTAAAACAAGGGTTGCGTTCCCATGTATCATGTTTCCTACATGGTTAGCAGTGGTGACAGCTATCCATGTGTCACCTCAGACAGTGAGCTCTGCTGACTCAAGAGGTAACAATATTATTTTCTTCTCATACGGGACCCATAATCCTGCTCATGTAATTGGACTGGCCAGACTTTCTTCCTCCCTACTCTGTGGTAGAGCCCCCAGAGTGCTCTGTCCCACGTGCTGCTTGTACCGCCTTGTGTACCTCCCCACCCAGAACTCAGAGGTGCTATGGTTTTCCCACAATGCAATCAGTTAGATACTGTGGATGCTCAGTCTAGGTTGACACAAGGTTTGCTGGGCAAAATGCTTAGGAGTGCACACGGCTCAACCTGTGTGTCGTAACAGGTCAGACGTGGGTGTCATAACCTGGCTACAAACACACGGCTAAAGTTATGACATAATTTTAGGCTTCAAAAATGGACGTGACTGTGAACTCAGGCCTTATTATGTCAGGCAGCTGGGTGTGCTAAGCTGCCATCTGCTATTTAGTATCATTTTTTTCGTTTTCCAAAAGATCTTTAGGGTAGGAAATCCCAGGTCCTGGTGCCAGTGAGGTTAACTGCTTATCTGACAAGTGAAGAACCTCTTGGGATAACCTTCAGGGCATTCAGGCAGAACAGATGGCCCCAAGCATGTGGACCAGGACTGGAGAGGTTCTAAAGGGCAGGATCCCAGTCATTTGCATGCACAAATTTAGCATTTAGGAGTCCCCAGTGAGCTATTCTAGACTTCCAGAGCATGTCAGGTATTTCACAGCACTTCATTGCCATGTAAAACGTCAGGGTGCTGGATGAATCAGTTGATGGAGAAACCTACAGGATAAAATCAAGCCAACTTCTCTGCGTTTCATCTTTATTAAACAGTGCAGAGCCTACACTTGTCGTCTTCTCTATGATTTACTTGGAACTTACTTTACATAGCAGAACAGGGACAACTGGTATTTTTTTATATCTGCCATTGTACTGAATATAGAGACGGACAAGCCTCTTTAGTACTAAACAGTCAAATGTCAATTCTACATGTGCTAAAAGCGCTGCAGGGTTGTTCAGATGTACATTGTATGCATCAATAGGCAGGTGCTTCTCCAGACGTGATTATTTCTCCAGATGGATCTAGCCAGGAATGACAAATGATCTGGTATATCTGAGTTTGTTGAAACCTTTCCTAGTCCCTGTGACATTTTCTCCACTGCTCTAAGAATGTGGCTTATGTTGTATATTCAGCTCTCCTCTCCAAGTGAAGAGATGCTAACCAATGCCCGGCATAATAGCGTGCAGCAGAGAGCTCCATGTATTTTTCGTATCCCGTACACAGAGAATATGTACTTAGTTTCTGTATATCTCATTTTAGGGAGTAGGCCTCTGGATCAGGTTAGTTAAGATTTCTGGGTTCTGTTCCCAGCTGTACCGTCATCTTGTGCGGCTTTGGCCTTTCAGTAGGAGTTCCAGTGGCCCTCTTTGATAATCTCACCCTTAGATTCTGTCTGAACTATGCAATCCATAGACCTGGATAAAATAATTTGTCAGGTCATTTTTAAAATACTTTTTCAAACAGTCTGAAAATTTCCACAAAAAATGTTTGCATCATTTGGACCTTTGAAATTTTTGACTCCGCAAAAAGTTTTCCCCAGGCCCATCTACAGTAAATCTTCATGGCTCTGGGAGAGTTAGAAAATCCATGAGACACAGACAAAGTCCCTACCCTTTGCTAAGAGTGCCATGTTTGCTGATGTGGTCGGAGTTCAGTGTGCTCTTAGGCTATGTCTACACTGCATGCTTATTTCAAAATAACAGAGCATGCGTCTACACGGCAAGCCCGTTATTTCAAAATAATTTTGAAATAACGGGCTTCTTACTCCGACTTCTGTGACCCTCATTTTACAAGGAGTAAGGGAAGTCGAAGGAAGAATATTCTTCCTTCGACTTCCTGCTGTGTAGACAGCACCAAAAGCTGAGCTAAGGTACTTCGACTTCAGCTACGCAATTAGCATAGCTGAAGTTGCATATCTTAACTCGACTTTAGCCCGCAGTGTAGACATCCCTGCAGAAAATAATATTTTGATGGTGATTATTTACTTTAACTAATTTGCATTTCTGCACTTATGAACATTACTTGAATTGACCCACAATAAATATCTTTCTTCTAGCTGTACCCTACTGCTCATGTTCTTTAGCTTAATGACTTAGTACTTACACAGGAAGAGTGTACTGATTTAATGAAGTCAATTTCCAAACCAGTGCCATTAAATTTGGTACCATTTTCTCATTGGGATAAGGCTTTAGATTCTACTTCCCTTCTGCCTTAAATTTTTCCCTTGGCTTCAGCAGAAACTGGATCAGGCCTTTGCATTCAAGTCAATCAAAATATCTCACGTATCCCAAACAACATCAGTGCATCAAGTTACAGTGCTGTAGATTGACTGTGACAGAGACCATTTTCTTTTTCATGCTTAATTATAAAATAAGCTGAGATGAGTTACTGAAGCTAATACAGGATACACTTTTAATTGATAATAACTATCTTCCTATATCTCTAGGAAGCATCAATAGTGTTAAAGTGGTGAACAGTGAGCTGCTGTTTGCTGTAGGCTACAAACTTCTGCTTTCACTCAATAATTAAAATATTCTGTTTGATGTTTGTGACCAATCCATGTTCCGCATTTTAATGCTGACAGGATTTTCCTTTGCTTTTCAGATTTCCAGGTAGAGTACGGGTTTTCATCCATCAACTAACACCAGAGATAAAAACATCCATTCCGTTATTCAAGTCTGAATGACTGCTTCAGGGAAGGGTTTTTTAAGACATTTGTTTCGGGTTATCTGCATGTTTAAGCATAATCAACGATGTAGACTTTTATCGACAAGGGACAGGCACAGCTAACAGATTCTTCCTGTTACAGTCCCAGAACTGTATGGGTGAGAAGGCCCGCACGCCCGTTTTGTGATCTGCTTTGCAAAGCTAACTGATGTTGAAATGAAAGTTATCTTTAGTGGTTCCTGCTTCTTGATATCTGACCATGGTTTCTCTCTCCCCTTTGTCTTCTTCCAACCAAAGGGTGGTCTAGACACATTGTTCTTCATTCTGGGAGCCCCTGTTTTCCGTACTGTGAGCCCCAAACTCTCCCATAGCTGTGAACAAGGAATTCACCCTCCAACTGAGAAGTCTGGCTAGTGGTCTCCTATGATGAGGTCATCGTAGGTCTTCCAGCAGTAGATGCTTTTGCAAGTGCCAAGGCCCTCCTTTCCAGATCCTAATAACTTGTTGCCAATGCATATCCTAATGAATGTTCACAATATGTATTTGTACATAGGAAGGCCCAAGGAAGGCCCAACATAATTGGCCAGTAGGTGCTATTGCAATATAGATGCTACATATTGATAATAATTTAAATCCTTGGGCAAATTGTTTATGTACCATATCAAAAACTGATCTCTGGTGAGAGGATAACAGATTGCATGAGATATTTATGTTGTGCCACATACTATGTATAAAGTGTGGTTCTGCTGTGAACAATAACTAAGTAGAAATGGCACCTTCCTAACCAAGAGCTGCTTCCTGTGTGACAAAAATAAAATGGTATCACCGTAGAGCCAATATACCCAGCAGGTTGTAAGCTGGAGACTGTTCATGCTGATACATGTTCAGCAGAATTGTTCACTAGATGCCCGATATGACTCCCACTGAGGTAAAAGAATCTCTTTTCATTGATCTCAGTGGAAGTTGCCCTAAGTTTCGGTCAGTTGTCCCTTTGCAAATCCACAAAAGGCATTAGATTTCCATGGGTGCCAATGAGGATAAAATGGAAAAGTAGGCAGCCCGGGTTAAATGGAATCTTTGTAAGAGGCCTTTATTACAGTGGTAGAAAAAGTTTACTTGTAAAGTGAGCATCTTGGATATAACTGAGTGGCATTTGTTATGGGAATTTCATGGTGCCCTTTTTGCAGTCACTTTTTCAGAGTCAAGCCACACTCTTAACTGTGTCGAAGCGATTGATATAATTGACATTTTGCTACTGAATAATGACTTCTTCACAAGCAAAAATACTTTCCAGGGAAGACTGTTGATTTCCAACTTGTAAGAGGGTGAATGAAATGTAATCCACAGAAGGAAATGGCTATGACAGTTGCAAGGGGCAGGCTAACCAAGTGGTTGACTAGTACCATGGCATGTCATCATGTGGAGTCTGAGTTCAGGTTCCAAGCTACAAGCCCAGAGAGAAACACGTTCAGTCACAGGGGTGGGAAAGGTATGACCACTCTCCAGTAACCCCTACATTGACTGCGGGTGGGTTCCACAATGAGCCATTTCCAGAGCCTACTGAGCAGAAAGCAAATCAGAGCCTTTGAGGGAAGGAAAATTGGAGATGGGCTCCGGAGCTCATAAGCAGTAGTGGTGAGAGGGATCCCTATGATGAGTAATTGTTAAGCGCTGAGGAAAGTTTGAGCATAAATTCACTCTGTTTTCACTGTTACATGAGTACCTTTACCCCGTGTGTGTATGTAACCTGTGTGTCTGACGTATACCTGTATCCGATGCAGTCCCTCCCGGATGGTCATGTCCCTGGAATGAGAATGGACAGAGGAGTGTCTATGCCTAACATGTTGGAACCAAAGGCAAGTGCAGCTGTTACTCACTTTCCTTCGAGACAGTGAAGGTTTGACTATGTACTGCAGACGAGATGCCATAGGAAATGTCTTGAATCCCCATTGTTTTTCTTTTACCTCATCCCAATTGTTGCTCCTTATGTGCCAAACCTCTCCCTCTGCATTGGACCTCACCTGGCATGGGTGCACCTCCTGTCTGCTCCTGGGGTGGGCAAGAGCAGCCACAGCATGCAGCCTCTCAGAGGGCTTTCACGGGACAACACTGAAAGGTTGAAAGTGCTTGAGTGGTGCCAAATGCAGCTAGTTCTCTAGCTAGCAGTGAAGCTGCCACCTTCAAAGACCCAAAATAGCAGGAGCCCACAATGCTTAAACCTGGATAAACATGCATCTCTATGACAGGCACATGTAACTGCAGTGAGGCAGGGTTAGTTACAGAGCATTGGTGGAAAGGGAAAGGCTTAATTCTCACACTAGGGCCTCTACAGACCACTCAGGCCATGGAAAGAGACCTGAATACGGGTCTTACTAGGAGCATCAGATCCTAAAAATTAAATACATTTTGATACTCAAGTTACGGGAGCAGGAAGAGAAGTCTTTGTACATGGACACTGTCCACCTTATCCAACTGTATAAGCTGATTGGTAGTAGAACAAATGCAGTTTCAGCAAAACTGTTATGTTTCTCCTTACAACATGTCTGGTACCTGTGGGTTACAGGCACAGACCTTTGTAGGGGGCACGCACTAACCCATAAGAAAAGATCATTCTCCTTATTAAAAAATAATGTGAAACTGCCTGGTATAGATGCATTTTCCCTATATTTGCTTTCTAACAAAACTCCTACCAGACTCTTTCCTTTCCACTGTATGAGAAACAATCAAATTCCAGGCATGTCCCATTATTCTGGCACAATCAAACCCCGATCTTGCTTTAAGTTGTGATCAGAGAAACCTGCATACCAAATATGGTGGACCTAGCTCTTACCGTTCAGGAGGAGTTCTTGAACAAATGGACTCTCAGACATTTCTAAAATATATAGTAAGATACGTCTACCTTGGGGGATCCCCCACTCCCAGATCTTGCTGTATTCTGTCTCCTTGCTCCAATATAATGCCTGCTTCATGCAGCAGCCACCATTGCTGTACCAAGGCAACCTATTTTTAAATCACTGGGTTTTTTTCTTGCTTTGGGAGGCAAATTCTGCCATTTTCCTGAGGGTAACATTTATGAGTTTGTTGAAGTAAAAGTTTGATTTGTCTTGACATTTAATAATGTAGGACCTGATCCTCAGCAGGTATAAATTGGTGTAGCCCAAGTAAATTCAGCTGAGCAACACCAACTTCATTGAGCTGAGGGTCTGGTTCAAAATGTGTGTGTGTATTGCCCAGGAAAAAAATGTGGAATGTGGAAAACAGTGAATTTCATGGAACACCACTCAATAGAAACAAGCAAAGGATACCTCAAAAGGAGGTTGTCACTTGTGTATTCTGAAACCAAGAGTTATGAACTAAGCTATGTCATGAATTTTTAATCATAAAATGTGATGACCTCAAACCTTTGAAATAAGTTTTCCCTGTGTTCACTGTGGTTGTTTTATGGCACGTTACACTTCATATAAAATTGTATATTGTATTCTTTTAAGTATTGAACAGAAACCATGTAATGTAAAGTATGAGTAGAACTAATTGTACAATTGTGAGAGTGTCAGACTTTACTAAGACATCTTGGTTGTAAGATACGGTTAAGTACACATTATTTAAGTTATTAACCACAATAAACTCAATGGTATGTTCATTTATGACTGAATCTTATTTGTTATTCTTCTGAAAAGTTTGCTGGGATAGTTGATGACAATGAAATGAACTTAGTGAGGCAGGACAAGACACCGTTTTGGTCACAGTGATAATCTTAATTTCTAAGAATGTTAAGTGTATTTTTCATATTGGTTGGTTGCATAGGGGTTTCTGAGAGAGGAATTAGTGATCTTGGTCAAATGTCCAAATCACTAAAATTAGCACCACAGCTAGCAATAAAGACTAATCCAGTTAGCACCAAAGCCCATGGAGAAACTCATGTTGACTTCAGTAAGAGTTGGGCCCTAATTGAGAAGTTTATGGGCATGCTCAGCAGTGAGGCCAAAGAGAAAATGGACAAAAGAGAGTGGACCATTAGCAGTTCTGTTATCTTTAGACTTGGTCTCTCTAAGTTACAGCAAGGACACATGAGTGTCTCAGCAAAGGAACACCTACACCATTGTTGTCTATGCTGTAGATGTTTGGTAACTAAACAGAGAACTTTAGTTTCCAGCACTGTGAATTTTATGTACGTATTTCAGACATCATATTTTATTTATTCTTTTTTGTGGCATATCATTTTGATTGGGTTAGACCGATTAGGGAATAACTGACAGGAAAAACTCCAAGTCTTTTCATTTCTAAACTCTGGCATTAAACCTATCCAAAAAATGAAGAGCATGATATTTCTTAGTCCCAAAAACTGATTATACATAATATCTAGTACAATGTTAATCAAACCAGAAAACCTCATCAAATATTTTATAGAAGATTCAATGGATGTATGCCATATTAAAGAAGGGGAAGGCATGTAAGATAAATTGCTACCTATAAAACCTTTTCCTGCAAGCCATCCATCGATGTCAAGGTCAAAAGTACACAGTGAGAACCTGTGACTTGTTTATAAATCAACAAACAACATGAAAATAATTCATCTGATAAATGTCACTCAACACAAGGCCCAATTGCCTGCCTAACAAAGTAAAGAAATGCTCCTTTTTCTGATTATACTTTCTGGTGGGGGTGGTGGTGGTTGAAGAACAATAAACATTAGTTATTTTCCTTAGAATTCTGCACATTATGGCAATCATGAATGCCACATATTTTTGCCTAAATAAATTCCATGCTAACTTGCCAAGGAGTAAAACATTGACTAGAGATGCATCTTTGTGGCTAAAAGCATGCATATAGATATAGATATATCTTTATATAAGTCTGTGGGAATTGTGTTAATACAGAAATGAAAATGGTGCTGATGTGCATTGTACCTACGAAACGTGGTTGAGTTGGTTATGTTAGTGAGGGAGTATTTGTTCAAGACAGACTGGACTTCACTTTCAGGCAACTTAAATTAACTTTTTCTTATAGTTTTGTAATTTCCTTCTTTGAGCATTGTTTGTGTGGTTAGGTGAGGAATGCATGTACGTTCTTTTGTTTAGAATGTAAATTATATCTTTTTCCCCCTCCCTCTTATACACTCACAGATTTTTCCATATGAAATGCTCATGGTGACCAACAGAGGGCGAAATAAAATATTAAGGGATGTAGACAGAACCAGGCTTGAGGTAAGGAAGCAAGCTTCTAAACATACTTGCCAATTGAAGTTTATTGCTGTTCCTTATTTGAATGGCCATATGTAGAGATGTGGCCCTTGGTTAGAACCAAGAAGTCCTCTCACAAATGCCTAGTGTAGAAATGGAGATTTGTGAGGAGGAAGGATTCAGGTGGTGGTAGCAAAAGTGAAGGGTTAAGTACTATAGCAATTGCAAATCCGCAGTGAGGAATGACTATGAATGACTTAATTGACAGAGCTGTTCAAATATCCTTTGTATAATTTTGAGTAATTTGTATTTGCCCATCAATTGATGGGAATGCAGAAACTGGTAAAATGTTGTCCAGTAATCATAGGAACATGAGATCAGGTCTGGTATCGTGTCTTGGACAGTGGCTGGTTCCAGATGCCATGGCTGTTGGGGGTGCTGCAACACCCTTAGCTTGGGATGGTTTCCATCATAAGCAGGGTTTAGAGTTTGGTTCAAAGGCTCTCAGCATCCCTGCGATGCAAATTGTTGCAGACCCCCTGCCAGATGCTCTGGCAGAGCCAGGAACTCCAAAGTGCCCTGTTATGGAATTACCTGCCCACAGCAGAAGTTGCTTTCCAGCTCCTATTAGTGTTTGGCTTATGTCTAGAAGCATGAGGGTTATTTCTGTACTGCCACATAAAAATTGTTCATGAATGTGGGGTAAGGAAACTTGGGCAGTTGGGAGACAACAAACAGTGTGATGTTCTGGCTGCTTGTGGTTACGAAACCGGTCTCCATGAAGGAGGCCACCAACATCCAGACAATATCACGGTTGTTTATGTATGTTTCTAAAGGAATTAATCTGATCTATGGACTCATGCACAGGGGAGAGCATAATCCCCCAATTAGCACATTCTAAGCAGCCTCTGAGGGAGAAACAAATCATATCTTACAATCACAGACTACTAGAACTCTTATAGGTCATTTTTTTCTAGACCATTACTGGAGAGTCTGAGACAGCATGACGAGGGGACATAGAATCATAGAATATTAGGACTAGAAGGGACCTTGAGAGGTCATCAAGTCCAGTCCCCTCCATTCATGGCAGGACCAAATACTGTCTAGAGCATCCCTGATAGTCATTTATCTACCCTGCTCTTAAATATCTCTACAGATGGGGATTCCACAACCTCCCTGGGCAATTTATTCCAGTGTTTGACTACCCTGACAGTTAGGAACTTTTTCCTAATGTCCAACCTAAACCTCCCTTGCTGCAGTTTAAGCCCATTGCTTCTCGTTCTATCCTCAGAAGCCAAGATGAACAAGTTTTCTCCCTCCTCCTCATGGCTAATGCTGATGCACCATAGCTTCCATACCTTTCCCATCCCCAACACGTGCACTGCATGCTGCTACACATACCAGCTAGCCCAGCTTATTGCTATGAAAGAAAGGCAATCCTTATGAAAACTTCCCCTTTATTGCTCTGTAATTCCCATTCTTAAATGGAAATAATACCTATGCCACAAAAGTGAGCTGAGAAGCCTAATTAACAGGACACAATGAAGCCCAGTGGGTAGTGCACCTGACTAGGGTTCAGGAGACCTGGGTTTAGTTCTGGGCTCTGTCACTGGCTGGGTCATTAGGCAGTCACAGGCATCACTTTTCTGTGCCTCAGTTTCCCCAGCTGTGTAATGGAGATGATACTGAAAAGCGCTTGGGGTCCTACTGGGGAAATCACTATATAAGATGTGGTGATACTGATTCATTGGTGGTGCATTTTGGGAGCTTTGTTAGCGCTCTTTCAGTCTGTGACCCTGGATCTTTAATCGTGTCCCTGTGACTAGCACTGGAGCTGCTTGCCAACTAACCCTAGCTCCCGGAGACTGCTGCTGTGCTTTGGAAGGAAAATCCTTCATAATCCCATTCTCCATTTGCCTCCCCTTGGTTGTGACTGACTCACTGACTCTGCTTTTCTCCCTTTCTCCAGCGCCACTTAGCACCAGAAGTTTTTCAAGAAATATTTGGCATGACAATACAAGAGTTTGACAAGTTACCTCTTTGGAGACGCAATGACATGAAGAAGAAAGCTAAACTCTTTTAATTTCACTCTACATCTATACCCCTGTAAAAAAAAAAAACTGCATAGGATATTATATTATGAAGTCCAAATTCTCTTTGGAGAACAACTTACTCATCCACCTAAAAGGGAAAATCTAACACAGGCACCTGTATTGATAGCAGTTGGGCCAAGATGAACATTTGCCACTGGGGTAAAAATTTCTGTGTTCAGAAACTTGATGGTAGTTTTCACATGTGTAAACTTTTTACATGTTGTATACATGATAGAAAGCAGCTCTTTTCTTCTCCCTCAAGAATATTCCCTTTATTTTTGTCCATAATATGACAGACTCTATTGCTAGAGCCAGGAAGTGCTCTTAAGCTGCCTAGTAGAATGAAAGAATTGTAATCACATCAAGAAGTGAATATATATGTATATATATTCTGTAGTATACTCATATGGCAAAATTTAATTCTTTTTGCAAAACCATGTCTTAACTGGCACTGTTTTAAAACAGAATCTTTTTTGTCTTCTGAAAGAATGAGGCAGACAGTTTGCTCTGTTCTGGTGCATACCAACCAAATTATTGGAAAACAAATCCCCCACTTGTACCACATCTATGCTAGGATATCAATAGTGGATTGCTGTGTATGTTTTCAGATCTTTCCTCCTCCACACTTTCTGCTTCAATTCACATGGCAGGCTTCACCAGTTGTTTAAGTCAAGGGAATGGTGGAGGAGTGGAAGTTTTCTTGTTTAGTCTAAGGTTTTGGGGAAAGTGGTGGGTGGAGGGAGTGAAAGGATTAAAGGGAAAATCTTCTCAAATATGCCCTGGTGCACACCCACGGACTTTGGGGCAAATTCCCTGCTGGTGAAAATTGGCTCAGCTGCACTGAGTTACATCAGCAGAGAATTTTTTTTCCTGGGTGGGCAGACATGCAATTTAATCCCTCTTCTGTGTGAAATAGCTCTCCCTTGCACTGTGATCTCACAACTGGCTCGTTGGTTAAATCACTGTTGCAGTAAGACATTGACGATACTGGGCAGCATATCAAGTTGAGCATTTTTTTTTGTTGTTGCTTGTGGTTAACGAGTTTTCACTCATGCTTTGAAAAGAAGGTTTGGAATTTGTTTGTCTTTCTTTAGATGCTACAAAGATGCAGTCTTGGTATTTTGAGTTTTTGTTGTTTTTTTCCATTGTGCCTGGCACGGTTTGTAGGGAGGGGAAGGGTTTTTTTCATGAGTTACACTCATAACTGCTTGCATTCTTTTCCTACTGTGCTCCAAAGTGTGAGGCTTGCCTATATATAACGTCACTGCTTGGACATGAAGAACACATTAACTTCTTTGAAGCTAGCTTAGCTGCTGAAAGGTCCATCTCTTCTCCTCATTGGGACTGAACTGCTAATGTATCCATCTCTTTTATGGGAGCACTAGTCTACAGAGGGATGTCAAGATTTTCCTTTTAGAATTGATATAGTCACCATGGGAGAGACCAGAGCCCTTCATGTTTTCTGTTCCGGAGAAGGAGGTGGTGGCCAAAGTCATGCAGGAGACACGAGATTCTGGATCATTGTACTGAATTCTACCCTTCTACTCCAGCAGGATTGCGTGCTGTCCTATAATCATCTCAGTGTGCCGAATTAACCAAACCACGTTTTCCCACTGCTGTCCCAGAGAAGCCTAATCCAACAGAGCCCGTGCTGTTCCCCTGAAGAGATCTGAGCAAAGAGTTCAGTATCTGGCGGACAGCCCAGGGGGTCCATACTGCCTGCATGCTGGAGAGCACAGCCAGGGTAAAAGGATGGTGCAGACCACGGGATGAGCTGTTGGAGGCACTACCATGTCTCACCAGCAGCCATTACCTCTAACGAAGCAAGAGCACGGAAGTTCAGTGAACAGTGCAACTTGGGCCCAAATGAATCCCTGGGGTAATTCCAGTGACTTCAGTGGGGTTGCAGCAAGAGTCACGTCTGTGTGGTGTTGTGCTTCATGTTTCATCACAAGCGGAACACACATTTCTAAATTATAATGAACAAGCACATGGGGGTGTAACTGCTGAGCTGTGAGATGCAAATCTGGATAACCAGTGAAACCAAACACAGCATACTTAAGGGGCAAACATCTTCTGATTAAATTTGGCAGGGTTGGGACTTGCTGAAATGTGCTGTTTGCTTCTTGCAGATTATGGCTGCATTTCAACCTGGATATCAATCGGGTGTCAGTTTAAAAAACAATCCTGAAAGCATGTAGGCCCCAAACCTGCAGAGGAATACACACGAACAGCATGTGACAGATCCTTGTGAACAGTTATTTTGGTGATCAATCTACATCTTTTTTCCAAGTTATAATTTTCCAGTTTGTGGTATAGAAAAAATTGCAAGCTTGCAAACCATGTGGCTCAGCTCCCTCCATTTATAAATGTATTATTAAACATTTCTACAACAGACTAAGGAAGATTATCCAGTGGAAGAGTTGAAAAACAGCATTTGAATTTCAAAATGTCTGACTTTCAGGTTAGATTGTACCTATTTGTTACCAGTTTTGACCTATTGTCACTATCCCTGCCTAGAAAGAAATGAAAGAAGACAATTTAGAGGCCCAGACATCTCAGCAAACTCCTGAAAAGGAGCACCGATGATAAAGACACTGATGTCATTGTCCTTCACAACCGGGGGTTTCCCCAGTACTAAGAAATACATGGGGCTGTTCAGGAAAGTTAGGATGAATCAAATAAAAGTGTGAAATTAAAGCATGTTAATTACAGAAGAAACCAGTGCTCATTGTAGCTAAATTCTCCACTCCTGTTGACTAAGGCAACTGCTTCACCTCACATCTTTAGCTATTTGTCATCTTAACTTTCTTGAGTGTCCCCCTGCACACAAGTCCTAGAGATCCCATGTCTTTAAGAATCACTACTGCAGCCTTGGGGCCTGTTTTCTCCAGTGAGCTATTAATTCTCACCACAAATTTTTCTACTCTCATGTCAGCCAGAGGAGGCAAGTAAACAGAGACATCGCCCCAGGGAAATGCTTCTTAGTTTGTGAATCATTTCCCTAGCACCACTCCCATATGCTGTTGGTTTTGGATCTAACTTCAAGATGTAGGTAAAAATTCCCCTTCCTTCTTCAACTTCCCTGCAGATATGCTGCTCTTCACATAGGTTCCCATTTGCAGATATGAATGCATATTTGAAGTACGCAGACACCTGATTGCTGATATGCTCACATGCTCTGAGTGCAAACTAATGCAAGGCCAGGGTGGAAGTCGGTGCAGAATTTGGTTATAGGCACTTCTTTTTTGAAAATGCTACCCCTTATTCACTGCTATTCATTCAGGTGTGCGGCACCCATCCCAGCAATGATGAGGTTGCTGAGGAATGCTGTGCCATATGAATCAATAATTTGACTTACTGTTTTTGTCCCCCCGCCATCAACTAAGAGACAGAAAAAGGATTTTTATATAAATTAGAAAGAATCATAGAATCCTAGAACTGAAAGGGAGCTCAAGAGGTCATCAAGTCCAGTCCCCTGCCCCCACTATAGGACCAATCACCATAGATCATCCCTGACAGGTGTCTTTCTAACCTGCTCTTAAATGTCTCCAGTGATGGAGATTCCACGACCTCTGTAGGCAATTTATTCTTGTGTTTCACCACCCTGACAGTTAGGAAGTTTTTCCTAATGTCCAACCTAAACCTCCATTGCTGCAATTTAAGCCCAAAGCTTCTTGTCCTATCTTCCGTCACCAAGCAATTCTGTGTCAGATAAGGAAGACTTGACCAGTCCAATGACAATGGGCTATTGTAAGTGAATTCATTTAAACTCTGGCTGGAAAATACACTATATCTTCTTTGCATGTCTTCTTTGCATGCATCATGTCTTCTTTGCATGTTTTAGGATTCAGCTGGTAACAGGAAGGATAGATTTGAAAGTTTTTAGACTTGTCCAATACACTCAACTTCCCACTGAAATAATGAAACATGAAACATTTTTTCCTTTTAAAACATGTTTGAGGAGCTTCATTATATTATTCTGCCTGCCTTAGCAAATAACACCTTCATCCTAATGGCATTTAAAAGAGATTGGAGACTATCAAACATTTTAAAGGTTGTCTAGCAAGAATACATATGTGTTCTCAGTTTCTGGTTAGTAGCTACTCCTGGAATATGCTTTATGGTGACTTGTAAACTCAGATCAGCTGCTGTATGCTGTCAAAGGGGGCTGGAAAAGTGATGAGAGAATTATCAGTTTTACAAGGTGTAAAAATTTGTATTGTGATTCCAATCATGTTCTTGTTTCTTCCTGGCAGGAATGGGCTGTCTTTCCTTTGATGTTTGCCTGTTTCAAAGTTTAGCTCGGTCTGGTGGTGAAGGTTTTGTCATCCTTTCCCCATTCGTAGGCTTACCTTGGAAAGCCACCTTCAGCCAGCAGTTCCAAAAGTCCTATTATTGAGGAATAATCTGAAAAGATTAATTAAACTTGCATTAGTCACCATTCTTTGAAGCCAAATCCATTCATAAGCAGTTGTCCCTCTCAAGGAGTTTACGCTGTGACCAGTTTTAAAGCTGAAGTTAATCTTTCCAAAGAGAGAACTATTTTTTTTCTGTTATAAATATCGCAGGGATGCCTTGGGGGTGGAGAGTGGGTCTGGGTCATCCAGGTTAGAATCATAGGCTCCTAGGGCTGGAAGAGACCTCAGGAGGTCATTGAGTCCAGGACCAATCCCAACTAAATCATCTCAGCCAGGACTTTGTCAAGCCCAGACAAAAATCTCTAGGGATGGAGATTCCACCACTTAACTTCTAGGGATGGAGGTTCCTCTAGAACTCCTCAGAGGTGAATTTAAAGTGCTTAAGAGGAAAAAAATGTCAGGTCAACCAATCTCTTTGAAGTCACTGGAGTCATGGATAAATGTAAATCTGAACAAGTGTAAATCAGGAGTATGTCTACTGAAGTCAGTGGAGATAAACTGATGTAAAAAGTGACTGCCGAATCAGACCCCAGAGAGAAAGAGAGGACCGCACTCAGCACTGGCTGGATTATATCCCAAAGACCTAATACTGAGTAATCCTGAGCACCTGTAGCTCCCATTGACTTCCGTGGAAGCTGGGAATACTCAGCACTTGTAAAGGATGGGCTTTAGGATAGAGGAGTATGTAATGAATGAAAAATCATTTCTCTTCCTCCTTTTCTCCTCTTCCATCTCTATTGACTCTCTTTCAGGGTTTCTTTGTGGGGGGAGGGGTGGTTCGTTTTCTTGTTCTGCTACGACACGCTCCACATGTTGGATGTTACTTTATATCCACTGAGAGAACCAGTCACAAGAAAATTCACCACACACCTATTTGCCTCATTGGAGGGGCCTGGGCAAGAAGCCGACCTGTCCTGGAGCCACAGTCATCTTTGTGCACCCCGATCCTGCAGTCAGCAGTCACTTAAGTAGCCCGAGAGCCACTGCACTGTTCACCCACGCAGACTTCATGGAACTGCTTAGGTAAACAAGGGCAGCAGGGTTCCCTGACGCATGCCAGGGAAGGCTGTTTAGATCTGGGGTACGGTCCTATGACAATGTAATGAGGAGCACAGAAAGTGTTACTGTGCTCTGTGATGCGAGAACATGCCTTTCTCCTTCCGTATGAAAACACCACCAGTAATTGGGTACAAGGCCCATAGTGGTTGGCAGCTGGTGTGGGTTTTGTCTTGAGATTCCCTTCCCCATCTTTTGTCTCCCAGTTACATTATAAGAGCCCCAGTGTTGTGCAAAGATTTGGACGTTCCCATTGCAAGCCCCCCTTGTCAGGCATCTGCCTGACACCGGCAAGCATATTCCTTTAAATGTAAGCACCAGTGCAGGAAGTAGAGGGATAATTGGCCATTAATATTATTGCCATTAAATACTTTATTTCCCAAAGGGCTTCTAACAAGGAAATGTATTTATGTTCATGACTTCCTAAAAATGTTCCTCCACACAAGAGAATATTGATACGGCGTGTTTTGTGAGGGTTATTTACTGAGATGAAGCAGTCCTTACTGTTTGCTCTGAAGGCAAACAGATATTTAATCTGCACAGTCTTGCAGAATATTTACAGGGGATGTATCAGACACAGCACGCAGGGCCAGATTTTCAAACGTATTTAGGTGCCTATTTTCTAAAGATGCAGAGAGGAATTGAAAGTCAATGGTAATTAGATGCCTATCTGGTTTAGGCACCTAAATGCCTTTGAAATGCTTTACAGATGGTTGGGGGTTTACGTTTTTTGGAGATAAAAAAGCTAGATTTCATTTTAAATTGGGAGGTTTCAGCAATGGGTTTTTTGTTTTGTGTTAGATTTCATTGTGTTTTCTCCCCTCCCTTCAGAAACCTAACAACCCCATCTTTTTGAAAGATTCTTTTTTCATTTGTGGGACAGTTCTGTTGCCGAGTCTTTCAGTAAAAGTGCTTTGATGTCTGTCTGTACAGCGAGTCCGCTTGTTTGCAAACTGAGAAGTTGACCTAGGTTGCTGTTCTGTACAATTACTGATTTCTCCACTTTCATATTGCAAGCAACACACATGGCACTCCTATGCCTCTATAATCTGCATCACTGTTGTACTCAAATCAAGTCAATGAATAAAGTTTTGTGCTTTATTCTAAAGGGGTGGATGCAAATTGTTTCATTCCCTTTTTTATTTATTTTTTCATGTTCATAGTATTTTATTAAAATTCTTTTTATAAAGATTTATAAAGCAGGATGTTTACTGAGGGGGAAAAAAACATACAGCTGAACAGATGGAGGCAGATGAAGTACAAAGGATATTTACTAGCCGTACAGTATTCAGGGTTTCCCATAAGAAAGTTACCATGCGTGCGTGCGCACACATGCACACACAGAGAACTAGTGGGAATTCAGAATTCAGTGCAGTTACTTTAGGGTTCAAAAGCATGCTAATAGCTGTAAAAGCACACAAACCGTAAAAATAAGACTGTTTTGTTGACTAATTACCCCATTTTTGCCTTGCAGCAAGATTGTTCAAACTTGTACGTTAAGCGATTCATCAAGATTCTTCTAACTATGACTCACTGAAGTCAATGGGACTTATCACATGCTTGACGAGAGGTTAGACGTATGCTTAAATGTGTCGCATCATGGCGGTCTTCAGTTTAACCTCCCATCTCTGAATAGGCTACATTCTTGGAAATAGGCAGTAGACGCTCTATAATGAGCATTATCCTGTTTAGCTGAATGATCCTAACACTGAGCAGCTGCAGCCCTACCTCATGTCAATGGCAGCTGTGGGGACTAAGTGCACCAGCTGGATTCTCAGCCCTTTCCACCCTGTGCCCAGCAGAGAAATGCTGCCAAAGAAAGCAAACAATTTTGGCATGGAAGTGCCATGTGAAGCTTCCAAGACTGTGTGTGTGTGTGCGCGTGCGTGCAGGCGCACGTGCAAATGGAAGTTACATGCAATTGTACTTCTCATGCTGTGCAGTTTAGGGCCTCCTACCAGGCCCGCCCTACCCCAGCTCTCTAGGTGAGCCACAGTAGAGCTGCCCTGAACTGATCTGAGCTTCCTATGGCACCTTGGCAGGGCAGCCAAAATGGGAGAGTTGCTATGTCCCTGTGGTTGCTATTTGAGGTCAACTCCTTAGCCGCCATAGCTGGATTGGGTGCTGGGGATGTGCATGTGGGTACGGAAAAACCCCTCTGCAAGTGTGGTTGTGAATAACAGCCCTAGAGTCCCCACTAAAGGGCACAGGAACTGATTTAGCTGCAGATCCTCCAACCTTCTTTCCACACATGCACACAAGATGTCAGCACTGTGCCCGTGGTGCAAGCCCTCTTCTGATGTCCCCCCAATCCTGTCTTCTCTCCCCTCCCTCACACATCACTTCTGCTGCCCAGGGAGTCTCCACAGCTGGGGCTGGGGGCCTATTAGAATTTAATTCCAACATGCCTTGCTACATGTGTGTAAGGTGCTGATCTCTCCCCTCCCCAGCCCCAGTTCGCTGTACAATTCGAACGGAGACTGTCCCTGTCCCAAAGAGCTTACAAGTTAAGTAAGGGCTGCCTATCGGCTTAAGTACCTTGCTGATCGAGACCCCCCTGTGTTTCACTTTGTACTTTCCATTTTGCAATCACTTCCTGCCCAGCCCTCAGACTATCAGAAATAAGTTGCCTGCTGCCTAATAACCTACATTTTCCCCCTCTCATTTCAAGGACCAGAGCAGCAGGGTCTTGTGTGGAAACATTAACCCGGAGCAGTACAGGAAGTGTTGGTTGCTTGTGATATCTGCTACTGGGGCATTCACAAGAGCAGCTCAAACAAGGGCCTGCTGTAGGTACAAGAAAGAACAGCCTGTAGCAACCACAGTCCTCACCTCTCTTGGCCTGTTGTAGTAAGAGTACTAGTGGGACGGCTGTTCCTTTCTTAAAGGATAATACAAGGTGGGAGTGATAGATGGGACAGGGCTATCACTAACAAGCCTGCCCCGCCATCAGGCTTAAGCAGCTGTCTCTGGATTTCAAATGGTAAATCAGAGGAGGGCAGTGTGGCGCACTCACAGACCAATCTAGGACTGGAGCCTGGTGCTGGAGTTGCCAAGACATCACCCGCCTTATGAGTGGGGAGCTACTGAGTCTCTCTGAGTTTCCAGACCGGCAGAGAAGAGGAGGTTTCTGTTCTCAGACAGCTGGCACCAGAGAGGGGTTTTCCTCTGCAGCCGCATGGGTGCTCTAAGCACCATCTCCTGCCACCTGAACCAAGAAGTGCCAGGGCTCGGGGCGATGGACAATGGCCCATTCTATGCCCCCATATTCAGAACATTCAGGTGGTCTGTGATCAGTGCTTAGAGACTGGTTTTGTTCTAGGCCTGGGTCCAACTGGCTATGTCAAACAGCCAGTGTTTCACAGCACTCTGCCTGTACTCACGATCAGGGAAGCTCAGCCCTTAAATGCACCGTCTCCAAATACCATGGCACCCACCCAGCCCAAGGTAGAGAGAAAGGTCCATGCACACAGCATCTACCCCCCAGGCAAATTCTGGGTGGATGTTCCGGAGGGGCACAAGGCTGTGTAAAGGGCTCCCCTGGCAGTAATGAGAGTGGGTGGAGGGCTCCCTAGGAACTCACCAGCAGTGCCTACCTGAGAGAGGTAGCACAGCCCACCTGGCTCCAGCTGCTTGTTGGGCTGTACCAGCAGGCCAAGAGCCCCCTGTTGAGTGGGCAGTTGCAGGCCTGTGCCTCTTCTGGGAGTAGGCCGCTGGAGCCTGGGCCAGCAGGGCCTCAGGAGAGATGCAGGTGATCTACCCACCAATGTAATAAAATAGCAGCACATATTTCAGTGGGACTATCCAGGGCAGCTGGGGACATAAATATCTTCACACACTACTGGACATGGCCTTTGGATGTTCATTAATCTATTCAGCTCATCAGTTCCATGTACGCGTCTATTCCATGTGTTACCAATGGATTTTTAGTCCCTCACCATATAAATATACGGAGACACAATCAAACAAAACATTTGTTAAATCCAGTCATCCCCACCCTGTACCTACCTCTATTAAAATAATCTTGGATTTCTAACCCCTGAGTAATGACTGTGGAATGCACAACATCTCACAGCCCAGCAAGGCATCTGGCTAGGAGAATCTTCATAGCATGTTAAAAATACCACTGTACATATATAAGAGCAAAATGAGTCAAATGTCAGTGCTAATTTGCTGTCACTCTTGAGACCACTTCCTCCCGCAAGAACAAACACAGGGCATCTCAAATAAGTCTCTCTGGACCTCAACAACATCCACAAATACTCATCTGCCACCAGAAAAAAATCTCTTGAAACACTCATGTAGCAAGAGTACAATATCCCCTTCGCCACCCTCCCCACCTACTCACTGTTGTTTTATTTCCTTTGCATTTCTGTGTATAGTTTGGGGAAAGGGTGGGAAATAAATGAAACTTCAATCCTGCTTGCTATTTTCTATTATAAAAAGGGACCCTAGGGAAACATATTGACTGTTTTCTATGGCTCAGTGAGAGAGCGAGAGAGAATTTGCTTAAGGAGTGCCTGTTACAAATTGTTCTTTCACACACACTCTTATTTTCAAGGTTTTGCAAAGATCAGCCATCCAGCAGAGTTTAAACAGGAAGCTGACCATGTGTCCAAGGGGCCACTGAGTTTCAGATGGCTGCTGTGCCCAGTTCCTTCATGAGCAACCTCAGATGATGATGATATAACTACCCATGTATGTATCTTGGGTCACAGGGTTTTAGCATCCATGTACTGCAGGAGCCCAAGGGTTTTGTAGAGAAGTTTGTGCACCTTGCTCAGATGGGAGCCCATAATTGAACGGTGGGCAGAACAATGTTGGGATCCATGTGACAGGTCGAATCCCCAATCTAGTAGGTGTCTGGTGCAGTGTTGAAAATTCCACCATCCCAGAGCAAAGGCTTGAGCCTTGTTGAAAGTGCACTTCTGGAGTATCAACAGCTTTGGCTATATAGTCCCACTATTAAATGTGGCTATGTAAAAATTAGGGTTGTAAAAGTGTACATGTGTAAACCATTAACCGATGAGTCTGGGCTTGGTTAACAGTCACGGTTACATGCAGCTTTCTCCCCGCCCCCGCCCCCCCACCAGGCTGCTGCTGCATCAAAGGCAGCAGTTTGGGGGAGCAGGCAGAAGCCAGTATGCACAGGACGTTGGCTTTTAAGCCAGCTCCCTGCTTGTACCAGCTCCTCCAGAGCTGTGTGCCTCCCCTCCCCATCCTGCGCTGTTGACTCTGTATCAGAGGTAGAGGTGGGGAGGGACAGGCAGGAGTTAAAAGCCGACTCCCCTTGAGCACTAGCTCCTGCCTGCCTCTCTCCCTGCATTGCTGCCTCTGATACAGAGGCAGCAGCAAGGGGGAGGCAGGTGCCTCCCTAGGAGCTGTCTCCCCCCATGTAAAGGTGTAACTGCTGAAATTTTCAGTTGTTACACATTTATCTTAATAAACACATTTTAATATATCTAGTAAAAATGGTGTCGTCTTATACTCCACATCTTAAAAAATCCACTGGTAAGGGGACCAGGCGCTGCTGTGGGGGGCTGTCTACTGATGGAAAACATGTCAGTTTCCTAACTGTAAAATGGGTATATTGCTAAACAAAACAAAAACAAAATCGCACAAATCTTATAGTCAATTTTACTCATAGTAGCAAGACTCCTGTCAAATACAGTCATTATAAACAGCCTCTCATCCAAGTCTAGGTCTACATTAGAAAGCTTGAACAGTACCCCTTTCCTTCTGTTAGATCTTTCCCTGCATCCATGCTTGGTTTGGACCCCAAATTCCCACATTTCCCGGAAAAGCAATGCCACGTCCAAGGAATTTTGAAAAAGCAGATGCACTCTTTCGCCATCCCTGTAAACCTCGTTTCAACAGAAAAGCAGAAAAAGACATGCAAATTGCAATTTGCGTATCTTTTTCCGACTTGTCTTTGTAGTCTAGACGTAGCCTAGCTAATACAACCTGGTGCTGCATATTGCGCCATCACAGGCAGCCACGTGTGAATTGTGCTGCCAAAATAGTTTTGCTGGCAGCACTATGCTTTTGGCCAGTAAAATTTTCTAAGGTACTCAAGTCCCAGCTTTCTTCTGAACAAATCTACAACTT